CTTCCCACCGCCATAGTTGTCTGATGCTCTTATTAACCGTGGTACAATGCGTTAAAAGCCGTAGCCTGGAAGATCTTCAACTAACGGGGTAACTGGGTCCTCTCAGGACGGGCAGTCAGGCTACAATGTTTCCATTTCAATATGGTTTCTATGGCAATATCACACAGATGTATCCGAACCACCCCTGTTATTGCTTGTAAGGCCTAAAAAAATATTAGAAAAGCTTGGTGCAAACCTCTTTATGAATATTGGGGCAGAAATTGCTCAAATTTTAGCTAGTACCTCTCATCTCAATGTGGTAAACAATCTACTTGCCAGTTCGCTATTCAGTAGTGTCAAGTGCAGTTGAGTATTCAGAGGCTAGGTTGTTCAAAAATAAGAAACGGGAAATGCGAATGCAAGAATGCATGTTTGGCTTTTATTGTAAGTGCAGGGCGAAACAGAGGCAAGCTCTTAGATATCATCTTTGCATGATCACCATTAACTTATTAGAAGTCCAACGTCAGGTTTGTGCCTTCATTGTGGTCAGGCTGTATAGAGTTCACTACAAGAACATAATTGCTCCATGGTCTAATTTACCGTAAACGGGCACTTCGAAACTTTGTCTCTTAGCCTCTCGTTAAATCGAACTTAGTGACCTCCTTGACTTCTTATCTTTAATTGTAAGCGCAAGACTTGCCAGATTTCTGCATGTAGGAACCCATTCACTTCTGACCAGTTTCCATAACAGAACCATTTATCCTCGGGACACGTTTATTTGTCCTTTTTTAAATCACAGCGTAGAGAACTCCCAAGTGTATGTTTATAAGCGCAAATTTTAATTATTTTATACCATTTTGAATACAAAATTCAACTAAATTCGAATTAACCACAATTTTCGTTCCTCGACCCGAATTTTAATAGTTTAGGTATGGATATAATGCCTACAGTATAGGTACTTTTTTTCTGTAATTGTACAGGGTGTCCCAGAAGTAACTGACCCTTTTGATTTGCTTATAAAACGAAAATTATTAACACTAGGATATTCAAACTTGTTTTATTCGAAAGACATAATTCTAGAATTTGGTGCGATAAAAATC